AATAAGGGTACCCTTTTTTCTGTTGGTATATTATATATGGGAACCCAGAACCCAAAAAGGGTAAAAGGGTACCACTGGGGTTCCTAGTGGTTCCTTTGCAGCTTCCAAATGATCAATCAAGACCGTGATTTGGTAGTACTTCATGCGAGCCTCATGTTCAGAATCACCCATGTGGGATTCTGGAATCACATGGGCTTCCATGTAAGTTCGCGGGAGGGTAATTTCGGTCTAGGTTTGGGTTTCAGGGGCCTTAAACCCTAAACCTAAAACCCCAAACCCCCAAACCCTAAACCCCTAAACCCCTAAACCCTAAAACCCTAAAACCCTAAAACCCTAAACCCTAATTCCGAGGCGACCCGTCATTGACTTGCTGCCAGGGGCACAGGATCGGCGTCGTGATGGCCGAAGATGTCCTTCATCAGGTTTAGGGTTAAGGCTTTAGGGTTTAGGGGTTTGCGTTTAGGGTTGAGGCTTTAGGGTTGTAGAGTCTAGCTAGGAGTTAGACATGTAATTGGGGTTTCAGAGTTAAGCTAGGAGTTACGTAGAAATGTACCCCCCCCAAATGTACACCCCACCCCCAAAGGATAGAATCCTATTCGGCCTTATTAAGCTCCATATAGTCCTTATTAGCTCCTTAAACCCCAGAAAGGGGGGGGTACATTTGGGGGGTGTTATTGTATCCCCGAATAGTTGCCAGAGCACTATTATCCCAGTAATTGTGAATCAAACGGGAACAGCAATTCAAACCTTAAATAGAAACCAATGGCCTGATTAGGATATGTTGTATATTGTTTTGGGTTCAGGGTTATATGAGTTGCTGGTTGTTAGTAGGGGCTTTACGGTTTAGGATCCAGTCTGGGGCTTCAGGCTCAGGACAATATGCAGTAATTTAGGGCTTGGAGTTTAGGGCCAAGTTTAGGGTGTAGGGCCTCCTCCAACAGGCCTAACACATACCTTCACCTAAACACGTAAAACCGTGATAAAGCTCCTAACGCAACACCCTAAACGCTTGTGATAAGGCGAAATACGAGGCATTGAAGAAGCCAGACGTACCTTTGCCGTAGTCCTTCCAATTGCCCCGCAGGGTATAGGGTTTAGATTGTCCGAACTTTGTCAAAGAGAGTTTCAGGTGAATAGTTATCCGGCGGGTACCCTTATAGGAAGCCTACATAAAACTTTTGTAGCCCCATTAGCCCTCATACGGGCCGTACATGAGCCTTACATGGTACTGCGCACCTGGTAACTACCTCCTGGAACTGTTCTCGACTCTAGGCTTTGGGGCTTATGGCTTAGGGTTTAGGGCAAAGGGCCTGGCAAAGGGTTTAAGGGCAATCGAAAGCATGCTGAAACATAACCAGCTGGAAGAAGCAGCTGCGCCTCCTACAACCCCAAAACCCCCTAAACCCTGAACCCCTCAACTCTACATGAGCTATAGTCTAAACTCCTTCAAGGGGGTTATAGAGGAGATTATATAGGGTACTGTTATGGGGGTTATTCAGGGGGATACTAGGAGTTTAGACTATAGCTCACATGCAGTGGCACCTCAGAGTCGTGTTCTTAGGTCCGCAATCCCAAACTCTAACCTCTAAGCCAACCCTAAACCCTAAACCCTAAACCCTAGAGTGTAGGGTCCCTGACCCCTGCACCCCAAGCCGACAACTGCAAAGCCCAAACCCTGGGCCCCAAACCGTTAACCCCAAGCATGGACCCAACATGACTAATGAAATCAGTGATGATATTCCATGCTGACTACAAACTAATATATCTACCCCACCCCAAACTCTACCTAGAACTGCAACCATAGTACCTTTTGAATGAGTCCTAACATGAACCCGAACCTCCGAAGCCACACAAGGATCTACATAAGAAGGCCCAGGTAAACTCTACACCTTTAACCTTACAAAACCACAAGTTTGCCTATAACATTATCTATACATAGATGTATACGCCTACATGACCCTGCATCTGGCGACCCCGTATCTCCCAGGGTTTAGGGTTTAGTTTAGGGTCAAGGCTTTAGGGTTTAAGGTTTAGGATTTAGGGTTTAGGGTTGTAAACTCAGTCCTCGAAAGTCCACATCTCAGTGGCCGTGGCCGTGGCCGTGGCTGCAGCTGAGGCAGAAGCAGCTTTGCTGGCCTTCACGGGCGGCCCCTTGAAGAGGAGTCCCCTTCAAGGGTTTCTAGGGGTTCAGGGTTTAGGGAAGGCCATTCTGGTATGTATTCGGATGGGTTCAGGGTAGATATGTATAAGTATATTAGGGCCTTCAAAGGGGATTATATGAGCTAAAGTCTAAACTTCAAGTTTCCCCCTTACAATAACCCCTATAATATTCCCCTTTCTAATCCCCTTGGAGGAGATTAGACTATAGCTCATGCAGGGATTGGTGTTATATGGGGGATATACAGGCAGTACTTGGGGCCACTATGGGTCGTTTCAGCCTTGGCAATTAAGAGGAGTCCCCTTAAAGGAGGATTAGGGCTTTGGAGCTTAGAGTTATCAGGGTTTGGGG